CCCCCTTTCCCCTCCCAAAACGCGCCAAGCTTATTATTTATCTTCCTGGTCCAACCCGGAAGGTAGCACCAGAAGGCTGCCCACTCGGTTGCTGCTTCAAAGCGAGAATAAAAGTATTTCAACGCGAAGTATAAAAAAAAAAATGCGGCAAGGGTGAGGAAATGATTTTTTCCCCACTCAGCACCATTATCACATGCTAAAATAATGAGGACAACGTGAACTCAATACTTTTCGTTAAGAGTACTGTAATTTGAAACAAGTGATGGCTAAGAAAACTGATCAGCGATGAATTTGTGAACATATACAGAAAAATACTGTACTGTAGTGATAATTTTTTAAAAACAAGTGAAATCTCTCTCATTCCACAACGAAATCCGAGAGACCATAGTAAAAATCGTTGCTGTAGGAACTTTGCTGTAGAGAATGCTTTCAACAAGGAGAGAGAACCCAACAGTACCAAAAACAAAATTCGTTATACAGAGAATATTGTCATCTGTATAACATACGCACACTGTTAACTATTAATTTTGGTTCTTCAATGAACCTTGCAGAGCTTTGTCAAAAATACATAAAAATTAGGATCCAACATAATCCAACAGTTGAACAAATATAATTACAGTGAGACCCCCACATGCAGACACCTCAACATGGGGACAATTTGATATAGCGACATTTATTTTTCAATATAAAAAAATCATAAAAAGGCCCAACATAGGGACACTGACTCAACATCAAGGACATTGAATGATAAAATTGCCAATACATTTGTTAAAAAGTGACTTTCATTAGGCTTAATTGCAAGAAACAGATATTTCCAACCCTAAGATCTATGCAAGAAAAATTCTTTTGTACTTTTCCCATCCATTCAGTTAATTAAAAAAAATTACCTATGGCACAGACAGACTTCCTTCTCTGTTTGTGACTTGGATGTTATTTTTACAGATGCCAACGTTTCAATGAACTGTACAGCGGTATACTATTCAATGCTCCAAATGTTCTTATTGGGTTGAAAACATATTCACTGAATCAAATTCAAGTGAAAAAAATTTTTTTCATGGAATTCTGAAGAATATTTCTTCCCTGAAACACCAATTAAAAATTATATAACTTAAGTCTATGGGAAAACAAGACTCAACTTTGGGACACTCTTGATGCACCAACATGTACACATCTGGGCATCTCACTGTACTGTACAGCAAATTTGTTGTAAAATTATTCAAAAGTTAAAAATTAAAACCAATTAGTGCTCTTGAAAATCCAAAATTTTCATTTTCATCAGTTGAAGAACTAGTATGCTTGTAATTTTTATTTTAATGCTGACAATTATTCAACTGCTAAAAATGAAAAATAAAAACCAACTAGTGCTTTTGAAAATCCAAACTTTGCAATTCCATCAATATTGAAGAAATCTTATGGCTGTATTTTTTCAAACGTTGACATGTTTTCGGTCTGCAAGTACTGGAGCCAATCGGCGCTTCACAAAACCCCTCTCTCTCTCTCTCTCTCTCCCGCCAACTCATCTGAAGTTACCGCCCACAAGGCAGCCGCCTTCAAGCCAATCACCACCGAGAATAAATAATAAATAAACGAAAAGGGGGAGGGGAAAAACGGACGGAATAAAGACACCACATGCCTAGTCCCGCACTGCGTCGTGTCCCGCGAAGTAGATTGCGTCAAAGAGACATATGCTCTTGATGATCTCAAGAACAGCAGCCTCTTTTTCTCTCATGATGGGCTTTTTATCCCGTCTTTTATGTGTGTGTGTGTGTGTGTGGGGAGGGAACTGAAATGTGGCGTGGGGGGG